TGAAAACGAAGCAGAGTGTGGGCCCCTCCCCGGCTCCCCGCCACTGCACCCCTTCCTCCCCGCGCGCTGGCTGTGGCGTTCTTGCTTCTGCCCCTGTAGGGATTCCCGGGTCCTAAGGGGATTTCCGTTTCTAGATATGCCTGTTTGCTGGCCGTCAGCCCTCCTGAGCCAGAATGTTTCCTTCACTGACTGCGGTCCTTCAGCTGCTAATCTAATCCACACCGGCCAGGTGCCCCGTGTCCTGCGGCGGCTTTCCGGACACGGCTTGGGTGCTTCCGTGTTTGGAGAAGGCTGTGCTGCTGGGGGCCCCTGGGGTGCCTCTGCAGTCCGCCAGGAATCTAGTTCATCCTTAACAAGTGGACTCAATCCACTCTCCAGCCCTTGTCAAATTCAGCCTTTTGGTCATTGGTACGTAGCCCCACAGCACCGCCGGGAGGCCTCCCAGGCCAGGTGGGCTGTGCCCACACTGGCAGAATATGGGACCTACCAGTGGAGAGCCTGCGGCCCCTGGTGCCCGACCGTCCTGCCGTCGTATGTCGTCTTCCCTCTGGAGGTCGAGGGGGTCATGGATGGCAGACCTGGTCTGCCACTTAGGACCCGAAGAAAGATACCTGGCTTCTAGCCTTGGTTTCCTCATCTGTAAAATGGGAATGGTTGATGGGCTGCTGTCAGGACTAAACACAGTCCCTCACGAAGAACGTGCGTGACACCCGTAGGGCTGCGGTGGCCGCTCAGAGAGACCTTCTCACTGCTGTTCCAAGAAGAGGAACGGAGGACGGAGGAAGAGCTCCCAGCCCAACGGAGGTCCCCAGTTCCTGGCAGAGTTCAGAGGCAGAAGGGTGGACACAGTGACCCCTTGTTTGGGGATCCCTCCCCGCCGGCCCCTGTGTGGGCTTATCCAGCTGTGGTCTGAGCGCTGAGCACTGGGTGCTCTCCAGGGAGCCGACACACACTGTGAGCTCCATCGGCCACAGGACCCTTGCCCGCCCTTGGCCGCCCCAGGAGCCTTCCCCACACGCGGCGATGGGGCTGCCACGGTTTAACCGCATGCCACAGGTGCCTCTGGTGGGCACACGGGAGGGGCTGCTCGCCACAAGCGGTCTGTTTCCAGCCAGTCCCTGCTTGTGTTTGGTCTGAGAGTAACGTGAAGACAGCGGGACCTCGTCTCCACCTCAAACAGGAAACAGCCCCTGTGAGGCTGAAGGAGGAGGTGGGACCGACTGTGTGCCCAGGGCACAGCCTCCTCCATCAGCCGAGCCTTCCTCGGAAAACCGGCCCCGCCCCTGCAGACTCCCCCAGCACTGTGACCCAGCAGCATGGTGGCCCTCAGTGACCCTGGTGCTCAGCAGGTTCTGCGAGACCTCCGCGGACATCGTTGGGACAGGCTGAGGATGCGTGCACACGATGGCCTAGATTTTTCAGCCCCTCCTGGGCACGGGATGGGGACCGGGTCACGGCTGTGGAACCATGGAACACTGGGCGTGGCCCGCCGGGTTAGGGCTGTGCCGGCGGGGGGCCCTTACACTTGGGGTCCAGGGCTCCCCGAGGGCTCATTCGCTGATCTTAAGGGATTGCTAGCGAGCACCTTGGCCACCCAGCGCCTTCTTCCCCGACAGCGCTGTGAGGGTGAGGCCGTGGTTGTCCACGCGCCCAGGGGTGAGTCAGGTAGGATCCCAGCCCCTCCCGGGGTGGGTGGTGGAGGCGCCTAGATTAGCCGCAGAAGCTGCAGGCGAGGAGGGAAGAGCTCGCTCCCCGGCTCCCGCAGTCCCCGGCTCCCGCACGGCAGGCAGGGTTGGGGCAGCTCCACTCGGGCCTCTGCTGCCCAGGCTCCGTCTGGGAATGGAGGTGGCCCCCCTGCGGCCATGGACAGCCGCCCGAGACTTCCCGGTGTGGGAGCTGGAGAGGAGGGGCCGGGAAGGCTGCAGGGAGGGCAGGTGCGACCAGCGGGCAAGACTGGCAGAGGCCCCAGGCCTTGCCCTGACGTCCGTCTGCAGCGGGCAGCGAGGAGTCACTTGGCTGGGCCTGAGCTGGGAGCGGCTGCGCCAGGCCTGCCGGGCTCCGTGGTACCTGCCCCGGCAGCCAGTGTGTCCAGGAAGGAAATGAGTGTAGTCGGGCGTGACTGCCCTTCTGCGGGGCCATGTTGACTCTGGTGATGGGCGTGTCCCTTTCCAAGTGCCCAGGTCCAGGCCAGCCCCGCTCCCTGGAGCTCTCCAATGGGTCCAATCTGCACATTCTCGGGCAGTGGGGCGTGGCTGGGCCCGGGAGCTGCCCGCCACCCTGGAGGAAGGGTTGGCCTGGAACCCTGACGCTGAGCCTCGTCACCACGGAGCTGGGCGCCCAGGAAGCAGCGGCGCCCACTTCTCTCCTGCAGGCACAAGGGCAGCGCCTCTAAATCGCTAGTCATCCTCCTTCACCGAAGGGCGATGCTAGCAGTGCAGGAGGTCAGCCCCCGCCGGTTAGTCCCACGCCCGTGCGGACGACGTGTGTGCTCTGACCGGAGGCAGGGCCGGAGCTTCCTTGGCAGCCGGTCTGCTGGTGCAGTCAGCACCCCTGGGGGCCGCCCTGCTGTCCTGGCTGGACCAGATCCAGGCCCGGCGCCCAGGAGCACCCTGTGCCTCCCTCCCACTCACTCCCCCCAGGGGTGGGGCGGGGTCTGCACTTCCAACCAACGGGATGCCCCCCTCCCCCACGGCTGCTCCCCAGCCACCCCCGTCTGCGTGGAGCGGTGAGTCTCTGCTCCCTCACGGTGTGCCTTCCCTGGTGTGTGTGTGTGTGTGTGTGCACAACATGCACGTCACAACACCGACACCCCCCACATGCACACACATACACACACGCGCGTGCACGTCCAATACACACGTGTGTACACATACCCACATACACATACGTACACACACATGCACAAACACCCCCACATATGCACATTGTACACACACACATACACACAGGCATGCATATTTACACACATACCCCACACACAAATGCACACACACATACACAGCTCCACACACAGCCCATATATGTACACACACACGTATACATGTAGAAGCACAGCCACACACATATCCACACACATCCACACACGTGCATGTGCACACACACATGCACACACACACGCACACACACACACAGAAGGCGGTGCCAGGAGGTAGCAGGGCCCCAGCCAAACGGCAGTCGCTGTTGCCATGGTGAGCCAAGGGCCCCGGAGGGGTGCATGGGTCCAGGTGTGTCCCCTTGGAGGCAGGTCTGTTGCTCCCCTGCCACCGTTCCCGGCCACCGAGCAGACTTTCTCCAGCCTCTGCCTCTTTCCGGGTGTACCGGGGATGGCACAGCACCCCTCCGGGGGCCCTGCGGGTCCCAAGAGCTGCTACAGGTGAGGCCGCGGGCTCCCTGCCGGTCCGGCCCGTACCGCCCGCCGCGCCCATCCCCACCGCTCCCGAGGACTGGGGAAGGGCTGCAGGAGTCCATTCACTCTTCTGGCCGGTGACCAGCTTCTGAAATTCTGTCTGCTGGAGTCAGCACTGTTGTCTGGTCCCGGGATCCAGAGCTCTCCGACTGACCGACTTGCAGCCTCTGGCAAGCCAGGCTGGTGGGTCCTCCTGGGTGAAGACTCGCTAGGCAGTTCGGACACGGGGCCCTGGGAAGCCTCTGCTTCACCCCAGGGGGCACTGGTCAGGACCCATACGGGGGTCACATACTAGACGCAGACTACAGCTCAGGTGAGGAGAGACGTTCTCATGGTCCACACCATCCAAAGACAGGAGAGCTCACACTCGAACTCCTGAGCGACCCGTCCTTGGAGGTGGTCAGCCCCGAGGTGCAGGCAGGCCACTTGGTGAGCAGCCCATGGATGGAGTTAAAGCTGCAAAGGGTTTGTGGACTAGATGCTCACTGAGGCCCCCTGTCGTCCGTGTGCCCGGTTTCCCTTGGAGGGGCTAAGGGGACCTTGCCCTGAGCACTGAGGCTGGCCCCAGGGGGACTTTCCTGCAGAAGGTGGGGGAGGGACGGTGGGTGGGGCGCCGGCTGCAGATGGTGACTGAGCCTAACCCTTGCCAATTGCGCAGCGGCAAGCAGAGGCATGGTCCCAGGACAGGGCCTGGTGGGAGTTAACCCCTGCAGTAGCAGGGAGACAGGAGGCTTATCCTGGCACCCACCCCCTCCAGCAGCTGCCTCCCCTCGGGTTGCCCCGGGTTGCCCCGCACTGTGGATCCCTGGCTGCGGTCAGGCAGACGCCTCCCCCAGGGCCTGCTCACCGGGAATGTCTGCGGCCAGGTTTGGGAAGTGCCAAGGCCGCAGCTTGAGGGCTGGGCTGCTGGCCTCGAGCCCTGGAATCCCAGGTGGGACTTGCATGTGTTGCACACGTTCCTGCAGAGTTCAAGGCACTGAGGTCCTTTCCAAGCTGAGGCTAGGTCAGACCGTGGTCACGCCCCCGGAACCTTGGCTGGGCGCTGATGGAGAGCCATCCCAGGGCCACCTCCCTCTCTCCTCGCCTCTGCTGCTCAGTGTCTCTCCCGCGCCAGGCTCTGGGTCTCCCGTCTTCTCTGATCTCTCTCTCCCCACCTCCCCGGCTGGCGTCTCGGCCCGGGGGTGTCTCCCTGGCGCTGCGCCCCCGCGTCCCCGCGCCCCTTCTCCCGGCCCGCGCGCCCGCGTCCCCGCCCGCACCGCAGGGCCTCCCCGCGTCTGCGCCCCCCGCGCTCTGCGGTGGTGGCCGGAGAGCAGCGGCCGCGGCCGGGCGGGGGTGCGGGCCCGCGGGGGCGGCGTCGGGCGCTTTCCTCCGTCAGTCCCTCCCCGGAGGCGCGGGGGGCGGTGCGGCCGCCGCTCGGCGCCTTTAAGGCAGCGGGAGGCAGCGGGAGGGAGCGGCTCGGCGGCGGCTCGGCGGCGGCTCGGCGGCGGCTGCGGCGGCCGAGGCGCGCGGGGCGGGGGCGCGGGGCGAGGCGCGCGGCGCGCGGAGTCCGCTCGGGGCCGGAGGCGGCTCGGCGGCCGGGGCCGGGCAGGGGAGCGGCGAGGAGCGCGCGCGGCGCAGCCGGAGCCCGCCGCCCGGGATATGGCCCAGGCGGGCCACGCAGGTGAGGGCGGGCGCCGGGAGGGCAGGGCCGGCGGCCGGGGGGAGGGACCCACGCGGCACGAGGAGGGGCCGCAGGCCCAGGTGAGCCCCCGCGCAGGTGGGCGGAGGTTCCGGGAGGGCCGTGCGCCCCGCGTCCTTCCTGCGCCCCCGGCACCTGGAGGAACGGCGCCGGCGCGGGTGGGGGCGGGTCTGCGGCGCCCGGGTCTGGGTCTGCGGCGCCCGGGTCCGGGTCAGGCCGCCCCCCGAGGCCTCCACTGCCACCCGCACGGGCAGCCCAGGGCGCGGGGACCTCAGGGGCTGTCCGGTGGCCGCCGCTCCATCCCACGCCCCCAGCGCCAGCCAGGACGCACCCCCCTGTCTTGCCCCTTGCTCTAAACAGGACGCGCCGATGCCCCCACCCCCAGCTCAGTCAGGAGACCCAGATTCCTTCTTGGGAAGGAGCGGTGCTCGGGCCGCACCGCCAGGGACCGTCCCACCCCTAACCCCCACCCGACCCCGGAGGCAGAGCGTCAGGTGCGGGGTCTGAAGGTGGAGCCTCTTCTGGGGTCCCCTGGGCTCTGCCCTTCCCCAGGCGCGGGTGGAGCAGACCCGTGGTGTGAGGGAGTGGGCGTTAGTCATTAGTTCATTCGTTCATTCATTCATTCCGACGGACTTTCATTCACCAACATCCGCTGTGTGCCAGGCCCTGAGCTGGGCACTGGGGAGCAGGAGTTGCACCACACTCTGGGCCCCGCGGTGGGGAGAGTCCCTAAGGCCGGCCCCATGGTGTGGGCGACCGCCAGCTTGGTCTCAGCAGGCCGGGCTGGGGAGGCTGGTGTGTGTAAATGTTCTGAGAACTCACACCAAGCCTGTGACGTTGGCAGGTGCTGTGCCATCCCTCGGGAGGCGGCATTGGTCTGGCACGAACCCCACCCCTCTCCCTGCAAGCCATGACCGTGCCAGAACAAGTGTGAATTCACCCATGTGCACACTCAGTGTGAGCGCCCTGGGCTCTGTGCAAATCCAGTGCCACCCCACAAATGGTGCTCTGGACCTTGGGCCGGGGCTGGATCTACCCCCCACCACCGCCTGCACATGCTGGGCTTGTGACTTATGGCCCCCAAGGAGCCCTGCAGGGGTGGGGCAGGCCAAGCGAGACCCAGCAAGTGTGCAGCACAGCTAAACACCCATTCCTCATGGAGGTGCTGCGGGAGGCACCAGGAGATAACGCGGGGCAGGCTGAAAAACGCTGTCTCCCTCCCTCCTCCTGGAGCCGGGTCCCTCCCCACCCCCATGCTCCCAGAGGGCAAGGCAGGGTGTGTGTCCCGCCCACCACCCCCGCTCTGTGTGTGCGTGTGCGTGCACAGCCCTGCACAGATCACCTGCTGGGGCACGGCCATGATGACAGCAGCCAGCCGCACGCCTGAACTGTGTTCCAGGCACCGTGCACAGTGATCCCAGAGGGGGAAATGCTTCTCTCCCCCTCCTAAGGCATCGGAAACAGAGGGTCCGGGCAGAGCCTCCTCTGAAGGAGGAAGTGAGGGACTGTCTCCATCACAGCCCCGTCAGTGGCCCCCACAGCCTGGGGTGCCGTTCGGCCCCTGTGCGGTGGCCCGTGGTCCTTTGGGTCCCAGGCTGACAGCGGCAGGTGAGGCACTGCCTGGGCTGGAGCGGCTGGACCTCGCACTGCTCTAACATCTTGTCTTCTCGGCGTCTGTTCTGTGCCCGGCCCTTCCCTGTGGGGAGCCGGGACGCCCTCCTTGGTGGGTCCCAGCACCCAGGCCCCTCACTCCTGTACTCAGCTGCCCCTCCCAGGAGTCGCTGGGACTGACCCCGTAAGAGGGGGCGATGCCTGCTTTGCTCGGTCCTTCTGGGCTGCTTTGCATTTTGCAAATGTCCCTTCTGCTCTTCAGGCTCTAAGCCTACTGACCTGAAAACGGCTCTTGGTGGCGCGTGCATGGGAGCCACACCAGCAAAGCCGGAACAGAATAGATTGGCCAGCTTTAGAACAGAGACGGCCTCACAGACGGGGGCCCACAGCCCTCTCGCCACAGCTAGAGAAACTGGGGTGCAAGGGGGGTCATAACACAGAGAGGTGTGGACGCTCACGACCGTCCGTGGTGGATGGGCAGACCGATGGTCAGAAATGATCAGGCCACCCTGGGAGGTGACGCTGGAACCAAGGGAGGCTGAAGGTTGTGGGGGAAAGCTGTGGGAGGCTGGCCTGTGAGTCAGGGTGTGTTCTGTGACCTGCGAGATGTTCCCTCTGAAAACTGGCCAAGGGGCTGCCTAGTGAGGGAAGAGACAGAGGTTTGGGCCTCAGGGTCACCATAGTGCATGACTCTGGGATTATCATATCGTGGGCTAGTGAATGGTGTTCCTGGGCTTGTGCAGTGTCCAGCCTGAGCAGCCAGCCATGGCTGTGTCAGCTATGTCCAACAGGCGCTGACGGGAAGCAGTAAAAGGACTTTCACTTTGCTGGGAGTTCCCAGGTGCAGGAAAACATGTTGGGAGTTTCCAGAAGGGATTGGATAAGTTAGAGTGTTGGTCCCAAACAGGTTGTTACCAGGTCCGGGTCTCTGGAGACTTCAGTCACCCAGGCCAGAGCTGTTGTGGTGCCCTGCATCCAGTCTTGAGAGGGGAGGGGAGGGCCTGAGGGAGCTCTAGGTCTGGTGGACAAGGAGGGGCCAGGCCTCCCTGCGGGGACGGTCGTCTGCACCACAGGCCTCCCTGCGGGGACGGTCGTCTGCACCACAGGCCTCCCTGTGGTCTGCACGCCAGGACTACCTGTGGGTGGAGGAACATAACAGAGGAGGCCTGAGACAGTGAAGGCTGGCGGTCGTAGGCGTTACGCCTTAGAGGCTGGTGAATTTGGACAGGAAGATGGCGAGGGGCAGGCCTGGGGTTGGGGAGGGGCTGGACGGAGGAGGAGGTGGGTGTGGAGGGGTTGGAGAGGGGTGTTGGGGGACTGGAAAGAGCTCAGGACGGAGAGCAGCATGGAGGACGGGGCCGACGGCAGGTTGGGAGTTTTGGCAGCCTCTCTGCCCCAGGGGAGAGGCAGGTGAGGCCTGGGCTGGCTCTGTGGAGAAGGGCTGCTTCCTGCCCCTGCCCGCCTCCCCTCGCCCCCCCCCCTCCCCCGCCAGTGCCCCAGCAGTTTGGGACCTCTTCTCAGCAGGGCAGGGCCTTGGGCTGGAGGAACCAGTTTATTAGCTCCCAGGGGCTGGCCCTGCTCCGAGGGGAGGGGCCTGCGGGGCCTGGGCCGGGTTGGGCAGGGGACTGGTCCTCTCCTAGAGGAGGGACCAGACTCGCAGCACTTTGGGAAGGTGCGATGTCATTGCATTGTCTGAGCGACTGTCAGTGGCAGAGCTGGTGGGCCCGGTAGGCGTCCACCGGAGACGCTTTGCTGCCTCTCAGCCCGGGCTGTGCGGGCTGCTGGGTCCCTGAGTCTCGTCTCAGGCCTGTGGCCTTGGGCCCCGGAGCCCCTGTCTTAGCGGGAGGCCCCGTCTACCTGGCCGGTTGTTTGGGAGTTTTCAGCAGGACACGGAGCATGAGTACATGGCTAGATCCCCCTTGCAGGGGCCAGATCTGCGTCCCACTGGCCAGAGGGTGTGACGCCGGCTTACAGACCCATTCCTATGCCCTGAGGCTTCCAGTCCCACCTGTGAATTAGCTGGGCGGGAGACTGAGGCCCAGAGGGCACGGGGCCCTCTCCTGAGGTCTGTGTCTTCAAGGACGGGGGTGTGAACGCTCGTGGGGAGTGGGATGTTCTGGTGGGTTCTGGCTGAGGGTCTGGAGGCACCGTGGTTGTGATGTCACCGGCCTCCCACCTGCTGGCTGGACAGCGTCTCTCCGGTGAGGCTCCATGTCACTCCCATTTTGCGGATGAGGAAACGGAGTCCTGGGAGGGTGAAGTGTCTCATTCTAGAACCCTGTGAAATCAGAGGCTGGGCTGGAAGTAGGACCTGGGGCTGGTCGGGGCTTAACCTTAACCTGCCTTCCTGGGCCTCAGTTTCCTCAAGGGTTGGGGGTTGGGGAAGGGGAGGGGAAGAGCCCCTGGGAACCAGGACTGGCTCTAAAGTTGCTGTGGCTTTAACACTGGTCTTTCTTCTTTCTCGGCCCGTCCCTACGGCCTCGTCCTCTGGGTGGGGGAGGGTGGTCTCCTCTCTGCTCTCCTGACCCCCCAGGGACCCCAGAGGGGTTGTGGGGGATGGGGCCCAGCACAGAGAGCCCATGTGCCCTGGGGGTCACCAGATCTGCAGCCAGGCCGGGAAGGGGGTGGCCGACTCCCCCACCCAGGGCCTGAGGTGGGAGGGGGCCTAGAGCACGTCACCAGTGAGCCTGGAAACCACGAGATCCCAGCCCCCCACACACGCCCTCAAATTCTCTCTACTCCCTGCTTTAAAATCCTTGTTTTCTAAAGAGAAAGAAAATGCTAAGTTGCACCCCCCGTGCAAAGGAATGGAGCCTCCGTGAGTCACTCCGGAGGTAAATGCCACCTCCAGGGCCCGCCCAGCTGTGCGGGCCCTAGTCCTCACGGGGTCTGCGAGTGGGTGGGGGGCGCCGCCTGCCTGTCAGCGGCTCAGGCTGGAGTTGGGTCCCTGCTGCGCCCCCCCCCCGCCCCCACCCCCCGCCTCCAGGCTGTCTCCAGGGAGGCGCTTGTGAGGTTCACTCTGAGGCTGGGGGTGGCCCGTCTGTGGGACACGTTCATGCCCCAGGGCAGGGGAGGTTTTGTGGCGGCGGGAAGAGGGGTCAGCCTATGTGGCCGGGGCTGGCGGTGGCAGGTGCTGCTGCGTCAGACACCAGAAACGGGGTTTCTGGCCCACAAGCTGCTGTCGCGGCTTCTCAGCCCGGCTGGTCCCCAGGCCGGTGAGCAGTGGAGCCTGGGCCGACCCTCCAGGGGTGGGTGACCCGGGGAGTCCGGAGCCCGTGCTCCCTGGAGAGGGTCACCTGCGTGTTTGCAGACTGCTGTGGGGGAGGCCAGCGAGGAGGCGCCCCCCCCTTCCCGGATGGCCGTTGTTCTGG